CCCTGGGCGGGACCCGGAAAGAAATGTGTAAACGCCAGAAATCAAAGATAATAATAATAATAATAATAATAATAATAATAATAATCAGTCCCATAAAATCATTGGAAATGAATTTCTACAATAGGAACAGGATGTTTTCGCGTGTAATGTGCCTGCGTTAGAGTTTGAGAGAGAGGGAGAGAGAGAAAGAGATGAACAAACAGGGAGCGTGTTTCTCTATGATTTAACGTACCCCATAAGCAATTATTCATCGCTTAGTTGTTTCCCTCGAGGAAGGTCATATGACATGAAGAACATCAAAAACGATTTCGTGTCCTTTCTATTTCATTTTCTCTACGCCGTTTTTTTTTGCTCTTTCCTGTTTTATGGTCACAAGTGACAAGCTCAGGAGAAGGTTTGTTTTTTTCTTTTCTTATACGTTTCTGTCTTAACTGCAGACAAAGTCGCAAACAGATTTTCGCCCCAGGCAACACATGGCATAGAGAGCAAAAGAAATAAGCCAACTAGTTAAAAACCAATTTACTTAATTTTCTCCGGTCTTCGTAGGGTGTATGTCGATCCGGGTAACCTGCAAGGAATTCTGAACTGAACCTTTTATCTAATCTACGGTGGCGTGGATAGACTGTTTTCGTTCAACTGTCCATGTCTAGGAATATCTCGTCTAATTCTTATTTTTAGAATTGCACAGTTATTACTTGCCTATTTTCCACTGAGTTCAAATACACACTGCCCGACCCAGGGATTGAACTCAACATTGTTATGTCACCGAATTCCCGAACTAATCATTTACTCCACTAGTCTGTTGTCTCATAGAATAACGGAAAAAATGCTAAGAACAATAGTCCACGTGCAAAATGGTGTAAATAATGATAACTTCTCTTCCCTGAAAATCAGACGGATTTTACTAAGAAGTTTTGACAATGTTTAAACTTTGTGTCCGAAAAAAAACTAAAATCTGTTTCTTAAAGGGACGTTTATTCCCGCGACACCGCTATCGTCAACAGTTATTGCTTTAAAAAACAAAGTTCAGAATTTTAATAAAACCCAAGCATTAAAGTGGATATTTACATTATTCGAACTGTTGTCCTCATTTTTATTGTCATGTTCACGACGTTTCGGCAAAAATGAAATGAAAATAATTTTTTTAAATCTGAGACATCCGGAAGAGGCATGGCGCGTGGAACTAGAACAATCTCCCCCCACCACGGTGGACGAAATAAATGGTTCAGTTCGAAATTTCAATCACCTGAAGAAATCTGGAGCGTACAATTGCCGAAAGTGGATATTCACATTATTTACATTGTTTGAACTGTTGTCCCTATTTTTATTGTCATGTTCACTACGTTTCCGCAATTGTAAATAATTTAACTCTTCATTTTTCAGGTTTTCCGTTTTGTGCTTTTACGAGATTCGTTTCCCATTAAACGTCACCGCGATCGGGTCATGTTGAATGTCAAGGCTTCTACTCTTTATAGTCTCTTGTGGACACTGACATAAACGCGCATGCGCGCGCACAAGCACATACAAATACATATATAGAGCGGAAGGAACGCGGATAGGAGCAAGTGATTGCATAGAAATACGTATGGAAACACAAAAACGATATGCACATAAGAATGAGGTTGCAACGTTGAGCATACAAAGGCACAATCATATTAACAAAATCCTTTAAACTTACACATTTATATTCACAAATTAATGTATGCTCAATTAATTATATGTATACACATGCTCAAAACACGCATCCCACTATATATATATATATATATATATATATATATATATATATATATATATATATATATATATATGGACGAGTGACCGAGTGGTTAGAAAGTTCGCTTTCTGGCCGTGAGAGCCGAGTTCGTATCTCAGGAAATTTGTTGAGCAAATACAAATATGCCTGAGCGAGCGTCTGCAATAGGGATTGACTAACCGCTCATCAATGTCGATTTATCAGGAAGGTGACATCTTAATGTATCGGCCTGGGATTGCCATAAGTCTTGTGAAGAGACGGGACGGGTGCCGCCGTCAATTGTGCTAGCATGAAGTTACAAGTCATCGTGGCCGAGGGTTTGACCATACAGGTCTTGTTGCAGACACTTGTTCACACCAGATAATTCGCTCTCTCCCAGAAATCGCAACTAAAATCGGCTCAGCGTAGTTTCAGTATAAACCACAGGTGGTCTCTGCGGGTGTTGAACAAACATAAATGTAACTGAGCTGACGTCAGCAACAGGGAGTGTTTAGCCGTCCTAGAAGACAGGCATACTCGGATACGATCGGACAGCCATATATATAGATAGATATATATTGATAATATTAGTGGTCAATATATATATATATATATATATATATATATAGGAGGGTAAATCTTGAATTAAAGGTTAATTCGATACAACACCTTTAATTCCATTGAGGAAGGACTAATGCCTATAATTTCTTGGCAGAATATCTCTGCACGGCGAAGAATTTTATCCATTGTCCGATTATTTTCTTCCTCCCTTCCGAAAAGATTTTCTGTTCCTCACGAAGACACACCTGCAGCTCTTGTTTGTTTGGGCAGCCAACGTCCACAAACTTTACGGTACCGCAAATCATCATGCACTGTGGCTTATGCAGATCCGAGCTGATGCCCACGATAACCACCACTTGTGCCAACGTGATTCGTCGGTCTTCTCTAATCAAGGCATCCGCTCTCTGGTGGTAGTGGTGGGTTTCTTCCGCTTTCTGGACGGGTTCTTTCCTGTGCGACGTTGATGGGCGCCATGTTATTGTTTTGCCCGCTTTAAAGCGATCAGCTCATATCTTCCGTTGATTGAGGGTGCCTACTCCATACAACCGGCGATTAATTTCTGGATGTTCGATTCCCTCTGCACAGAAGACTGCAAGAGAAAACGCTCTATGACTCGTTGTTTCTTGATCGTCCAATCGCTGAGCGGAGCGTTCATACGTCTAATCTCGTTCTTTCCTGCCATTTGCCTGAACGACGGAATTCTGCGTGAGGTTAACTACCCGTCAATATATGCGCTCTTGTCTTTTGTTGTTTTATGTAAACAATGAATCTTCCCTTAGAAACATGCTAAAGAAATATAGAACTACAGTCGACAAAAATAAGAATAATAAATTAATTACCTACTACAAAAACTTTAAAACTGCTAATCTAATTATCAACAATAAAAACTTACCTACAAGATACAAATTACAGAGAACAAATATTATTTACGAACTCACATGTCTCTTAACTCTTTGACCCCTGCATTCCTCAAAAATTTTAACCCTTCTGTATCTGTCTATATTTCTGAGATGAGTCATTATGTACACTATTTACATTATTTGGACTATTGCCCTCATCTTTGTCGCCATATTTATTACAACGTTTTGGTTGTTGTACGCTCCGGCTTTCTTCTTCTTGCTCAAGGACACATGGCACAGTGGATAAAGGTGTTGGTTAGATCCAATGATAGGACCCAAAGAGTGTGAGTTCAATACCCGGTTAAGGCAGTGGAGAATTTTCAGAGAAAAATTAACAGGAGATAACTGATAACTGACATCCATTAAACATGGCACGTTGAACTAGAAGTCTACCCCAGTGAGCGAAATAAAGGGTTCAGTTCGATATTCCAACCACCTGAAGAAGGCTGGAGCTTAGAACGGCCGAAACTTTGTAATAAATATGGCGACAAAGATGAGGACAATAGTCTGAATAATGTAGATAGTTTAACCCTTCTGTCTGAACTCCTGATTCAAAATTCGCAAATAATTATTATGTAGTGTTTCACGGTAGATATAAAAATAGTTACAAGTGTTTACCCACCGTTCAACCGGTAGCTGAAAATTAAGTCTTTTTTCACTACCACTGTTCATCTGCCCATTACTTCATTTTTCTCTACCACCGGTAAAGCGATTGTCAGGGCTCAAAGGATTAAGGAACTGACCAATCCAAATTCATAAATAATTATATTAGATATACCACAACATGCCTAACAAGAAAACTCACGTTACATCTCTTTGGCCATAGCTCAGTTAGGTCTCATTTAAATATACATGAAGACCTACCAAATTCCATCTGCAGCCTACTCGTTGACAACACAAATATAATAGCCTCATCCACATATAAAGAAAGCTAAAACTAATGGAAGCATTATTAACAAAAAAGAAAAAAATACAACTCAGTCATACGAACTATGAACACGACCGCAATGTACTGACCGTGTTTGGAAAATAAAACATCCCTATAACTCTAGATACATAAAACAATCCATAGATTCAGTTAAAAGTAAAAATAAAATTCATACTTGATAATGACTAAAAAATATAGCCGAAAGCACTCGAACATACAAAACATTTGGATTTCTATATAACTTACACCCAGAAAAAAGAAAAAAAAAACTATATATATATATATATATATATATATATATATATATATATATATATATATATATATATATATATGGATGTGTGTGTGTGTATAAAATTTCAGATAGAGTATATCTGTAAAAGGACACAAAACTTTATTCACACACTTCTTCTTCATATATATATATATATATATATATATATATATATATATATATAGTGAAAGATAAAATCATTCCATTTTTTTTCTCACTTCATATATATATATATATATATATATATAATGGGAAAAGAAACGGAAAGGAAAAGGGTGAAGAAATTTTCATTTGAACTCTGATTTCAAAGTTTACATATGTTGACCTTCCTTTGCTCATTCTTTGGCGTCTTATGAGCCAATTTTGTTGTTTTTATTTTTGATTTTCCATCACTTCCTTCCACTACCCTCGTTGCCTCACCCCCGCTGCGACCCTGAATCCAATTTTATATTTATCTTAATTCGTCGCGTTTCGTAAATGGACTCAGGGCAAAAGAAAAGCCTAAACATGGTCGTCTGCTAATCATTCAGTAAAGAACGGTAGAGGCAAGGCAGGCGAACAGGCGGGAAAATACTGTTCACGATAAAGGGAACCTGGGGGGTAATGTTTGGCGTGAGGGGGGTAGGCTTCCCTGAGGTTCCTGTTCTTGTGCACGGGCGGCCAACAGCTGGCCCTTCTTCTAGGTCTACCTCTCTCCAATCGTCACGTTTGTTCACAGCCACACGTGTTGAACTTGGCAGAGATAGCAGACGTATTTATAGTGCTGAGCGGTGCTGGGTGTTTGTATTTCCTTTCGGGGAGTGAATATTTGGACACTGATGGCAGCTTCAGTGGGGACCCTTGTACCCTAGCTTGTAAAAAAAGAAAAAAAAAATTAAGGCAACACATTTTAATTCTTGTCTTTCCTGGACAGCTGTGTTGCTTGAGGTTCGAGCCAAAATCACAACTCTCTCTTTCGCAAAATATGCAGAAGGGTGCATATCATTTTTTTAAAAATAAATTATGGAAAAGGCTTTGATAAAGTACTTCACAAAGAACTATTTGAACTGCTAGGTAAGCTTTATTTATTTGGGAACGATATTAGAATAATCCAGAACATATACTGGCAGCAAACTTCCTGAATATGGATAAAAAATGAATTCACTAAATATACAAAAAACAGAAAGGGGTATGCATTATGATGGGTCCTGATCTGGCATCTCGTCTACTGTCACTTTATCACAGACGTGCCGTTGCTTGCCTCTGTCTTTTCTACAAGTATTTTCACGAGCTACTTTCGCTGGTTCCCAAACTGCATGAATTTAAGCGTGCTACTAGGTTGGCATCTCGGTCCCAACCTTTCACTATCGAAACGATTAAATGTACTCTCCGGCCTTCTTTAGGTGATTGGAATTTGATCGAAATATGAACTGGACCTATCTTTTATATTATATCAAGTACAAACTGAATCTATCTACTTTTTGATTCAGGTAAAAAACAGACCTACACCCATGTGCAAATTAATTGAAATAAAACGAATAATTCCTTTATTATTTACTATATTTTCGTATTTTTCCAATGAAACATAAGCCAGTGCACATGTAAGTCGTTCCTTACAGATTGACTACAGATTCTCGATTGGATCTAAATCAGGAGAGTTTTCGGGCCAGTCTAGTACTTTGATTTGCTCACTGCTAAGACTTGCCAGTATGCTCGTACAGCGTTACAAGTTTGGAGTAACGCCCATCGAAGACAATGGCCATAGGACAACTAATCGATAGTCGAGACAGTAGTGTCTGTACGTGATAAAAACCTGATGTAATCATGGATGACGCAATATTTTTCAAGGTCAAACAAATTACATCGTACACCCCGAAAATAGATTCATATTACTGCACACCACTACAAATGACCTAATCTGAGGAACAAATAGAAATCGATTACACCCTGTCACTCCATTGTTTCTAAAACTGATCGTATGATGAAAGAAAGGAAACTAAAGGTGTTGTTTCAATGAATTTGCAAAGTGTGTATGTCAACCTTCAGACTCAAGTCTAAACCAGGCATATGTCTAGTTTTTGGTTCAAGTATAAACCGGACATATACCTACCTTTTGTCTAATTTATAAACCGGACATATTTTTAAACTTTGTATCAAGTATAAAGTGGAGCCTTTCTACCATTTAATTTATAAAATCTATATGTACGTAATATTTATTTATTTATTTATTTACATTTTTGTACTAAAGATTTATATTTTATCAGGTATAAAGGGAGCCTTATCTCGTCATTTTAACTAAACAACACACAGTCATGGATATATATATATATATATATATATATATATATATATATATATATATATATATATATATATTATATATATATATAAATATACAAAATTTACAAATACAAAAACAAATATTTTACATGAAATCCATCATCGCAAACAATTCAGGAATCCGTTATGAATATGATCTTTGTTTCATAAATTTCTAACCAAACAACAAACATCTTCAGTATAGAATAGATGTTCTTGTTTTTCCAAAACAATAACTCATTTTCAATATTTTCGGATACAACAATATATATATTATATCTATTCTATATGAAGATATGTTGTGTAAAAATAAGAACTAATACGGCAGAAATTTATATCATTCATTGTTTTTGTATATTATTTGAATTGTGTTTGCTTTTGTTTTATGTATATTCATGAATATATATATATATATATATATATATATATATATATATGTGTGTGTGTGTGTGTGTATATATATATATATATATATATTTTTATGTATATATATATATATATATATATATATATATATATATACACACACACACACACACACACACACACACACATATATATATATATATATATATATATATATATATATAAGTAGTAATCTTAGTAGTAATAAAAAATTATACTCCTTTCGAAAAACCTTCGGCGTCTTGATTTGCAAATAATCAAATCAATACCAAAGTGAGAAAAAAAAGGTATAAATAAAGAAAGAACCAAGAACATGTACGTTAGTCGAAAATAATCGTCTAGCATGCAAGTCCAAAGCCCAAAGTAAAAAAAAAAACCGATACGAGTACGCAAAATAACTAAATAAAGTGTCCGATATAGTAAGTAGAGCAGACCTTTTATAGCCACCTTCTTAACCAGCCTGGCGATCCGCTTAAGTGAAACCTTGGTAGGTTTTTTTGCTTTAGGTTTAACTATATATATATATATATATATATATATATATATATATATATGTTTGTTGTGTGTGTGTGTGTGTGAAGATATATAGAAAAATAGAAAGGAACGGGTTAGGTAAATAATCCAAAGTTCCTTAGTATTCTAATTATTATTTTTTAAAAAATAGTGCTCGATACAAAAGTAGAGCATAAATATAATTATTTATTTAAAATATGATTCAACTCGCGACATAAGAGACATGAGACCTCTTATGTCGCGAGTTGAATCATAAATAATTATTATATATATATATATATATATATATATATATATATATGTGTGTGTGTGTGTGTGTGTGTGTGTGTGTGTGTTGTGTGTGTATGTATGTGTATGTGAATGGCCAAGAGGCTAGTCCGCACCATGGTCCATTTGTCAGACAGCCGACTTATTGATGTTATTGGTCTTATAGGTTGAGGCAATCCCAGCGTTTGGTTTAAGCCACGTTTTGTGAGTGAAATTGGGTAGACGAAGCTATTTGGGAGCCATCGATGGTTTTAACTTTTGACATAAAGTCATCGTGACCGAGGTTTTGGGCGTACTGGCCTTGTTTAGGCTACTTATCACGCTAGATAATGCGCCATCTCTCAGAAACTTTAACTAAGGTCCGTTCATCATACTTCCAGTATAAAACACAGATGCGTTTTGTGGGTTTTGAACATAGCATAACCGGCGTTGATATGCCGTTAGATTAACCAACCAGCACAGACACACGCGCGCGCACACACACACACACACACACACACACACACACACACACACACATATATATATATATATATATATATATATATATATATATATATATATATATATCTTTCAGAACATGCGTGAAAAAGTGCACAGTCAAGGTTCGTGTGATACTGAAAATGTTGAGTAATGACGTAACACACTTGAAGAAAAAATGCTTATCTGACTGTGAAATGAATACACTTTTCCGCTCTTCGTCAGTATGGCGGATGTCATTCAATTTCTGCTTGATTTGATTCTACGGCGTCGAACGCTTTGCCAGATTTCAAAAGTTTACCAACTTCTCTTCTTGTAATCTGTTCATTTTTCTTTCTTCTTCAAGAAAAAGTAAAAAAAAAAAACTTTCATCTTCATTCCTGTCATTCCTTTTTCTTCTCCAGTAGTTCAACCTTTTTTTCTTCTTTTTTCCATCTCCTCTATCGCCGTTCTTCTTCTTCTTCTTCTTCTTCTTCTTCTTCTTTTTCTTCTTCTTCTTCTTCTTCTTCTTCTTCTTCTTCTCCTTCTTTCGACTACTACGTTTCATCCTCATCTCTTTGCTTTTCTTTTTTTTTCAACCTCCTTTCTTCTTCTTTTTCTTCTTCCTCCTCCTCCTTCTCATCTTCTCTTTGCACTTCTTTTTTCAACCTCTCCTTTTACTTTCTCCTCGTACTTTCTTCTGTTTTTCCGCCATTTTTCTTCATGTGCCAATTTATTCCTCTTCTTCTTCTTTTTTTTCTTCTTCTTCTTCTTCTTCTTTCGACTACTACGTCTCATCCTCATCTAGCTTGGACTTTTTCTTTTCTTTTTCTTTCTGCTTCTTTCTTCTTCTTCTTTTTTTCCCCATTTATTGTTTTTCATCCTCTCCTTTTCCCTTTTCTTCTATACTTCTTTCAGAATTTCTTCATTTCCTTCTTTTGAGAAACCCCTCTTTCATCGTCCTTCGCCTTTTCCTTTATCCCCCCCCCACCTTATCTCATTCGTATATCCTCTCCTTTTTCTCCTTTTCTACCTTTTCTTGTCCCCCATTTCATTTTGTGCACTCCTCCTTCCTAATCGGATTTTTCTTCTTTATCTTACACAATATCGTTATTCCTTTTTATTTTTCTTTCTTTTTTGTGTTCATTTATTTAATCCTTTATTTTTGCCTTTGATTTTTGCCTTTATCTTCTTTCTTGCCTTTGTCTTTTGATTCTGTTCGGATTTAGAAACAAAATTATGACCCATAAATATAAAATCCACCAAGTGAAGTTCGTTTGAATATATCCATCAATAATTCCGTCGTCTTATACTGATAGAAATTGTGTATATCACGCAGCAAAACATATTTTTCAATGAAATCACCTTCTTTCTTAATGTACTTCTCGTAACATTTCAATATCGATTCCACAATCTTAACATAATAAAGTGAAGTGTTTAAATTTAACGAATGACTATGCCAGGTGAAATTATACTAGCTAAAAAGTTGGTGCACTTTATCTCAACTCCATCGTAGAATTGTGCTTATTTTTTTTTTCTTTAACTTCGAGCATTTTTATAATTTTAACTTCTTTTTCTATTAATCCATTAATTTTATAACTCTTTTCCATTAATTCATTAATTTTATTACTGTTTTTTATTAATCCATTGATGTTATAACTGTTTTCCATCAAGTCATTAATTTTATAACTATTTTCTATTAATTCATTAATTTTAAAACTGTTTTCAAGTAAACAATTAATTTTATAACTGTTTTTCATTAAACCATTAATTTTATCACTGTTTTCAATTAATCGATTAATTCCTTAGAGATTGCTTTGTTTACGTTCTGGATATGAAACTGAGCAAATATGGGATTTCGTGAATAACTGGACGAGGTGTGTTTTTTTCAATAGGGAAATTGCTAGGCTGTCACTATCTCCCTGGCCGAGCGGCCTAATGTAATAAAATGACCCCCCCCCAAGGTTACTCCCTATTAATATAATAACTGTAAAATAAATTGTCAGACTCACCAGACATACTTTTAAATACTTTTTAATAATCGTAAAGATTTTAAATGTCATTTTAACAGCATCAGTAAACTGAGTAATATGAGATTCTACTGGACATAAAGTAGGGGATTGGTTTCAATTACTATTAAGTAATAAACTGACCCCTCACTCAAGTAATTATGTCTACACCAAACATGCATGTGCACAAAAGCTGAGTATCATCTACCATGAATTCAGTTGTGAAAGCAGAATTACATATATTTTATTGCTTCAAAGCTCCCAAGAAATTTAAATTTCGGCATTAAATGACCCATAAGGAGTTGATGTGTCGTTAAACCCTTAATGCGGTTACAAAAAGTAAAAGAAACAGGGTGGGTACAATATAAGAAAAGGATTCAAGGAGACAGAAGATGACAACTGACATTTTTTTTAAATAATACAAATAAGAATAATCCTCTCCGAAATTGAAGCAGTTTTTGCATATTACAAATTGTACTTCAAACGGAGCGTTATATTTTATATAAAAACATAGTATACAAGGCCAATCTTTACGGTGAAGTACGCCTGGGCAGAGCTCTTCATTAGGAAATAAATAAGTTCAATTAGATCAGCTAATTTGCTAAGCCACGAGAAAGAATTCTTGAGAAAAATTTCAACGAAGTTTGAACCGTTTTTGCCAGAACAGCACTTGACGACCTCGGTGGTAATTTTAAACAATAATATCTTAATATCTGTTCTAATATCTATCTTAATATATCTGGATACCAACTTAAGAGTTCAATGATCGGGTCTATTGATTCGTTTGAAGTCAATAGATCTAAGATACAATAAAAAAAAAAAAGATTTCAGTCATTTTTTTCAACAAGTAGAAACAGAGTACTTTGATGGAAAGATGCAAAAGTAAAAAAAAAAGATTTTAAAAGGAATTATTGTTAAAATTTAAATTTAAAAAAAATTAAAGAGAATAAATAATGAATCGTTGTTAAACTATTTAGATTGACATGCGCAGCATCGCCATCGATCACTCGACAGTGATGAGAACAGGAAAAAAGCAGAATTTATACATACTGGAAAGAACATGAGGATAAAATATGGTCTGCATACAGAATTCACAATTATTTTATCTCTGGCGTTCTTTCGTGTTCTACTCTGTTTTAGGCTATGAGAGGAATGCGAGGTAGAGAGAGAGAGAGAGTGCCTGTGAGAGAGAGAGAGAGTGCGTGTGTGAGAGAGAGAGTGCCTGTGTGTGAGAGAGAGAGAGAGTGCGTGAGAGAGAGAGAGAGAGAGAAAGAGAGAGTAGAGGAAGAGGAGAGAGATATGAAGTACCTGAAAGGGCCAGGTTGAGATAGATATGAACACACGCATACACTTCTCACACAGACACAGACACAGATACAGATATAGACATAGACTCGCGCGCACACACACACACGCACACATATATATATATATATTGTATATTTTGGCAGCACGTTTTCAATCAGACATGTTTCACTGAATAATTTAGATAAATTTTGTCTACTTATTTTCAATCGGATCCTTTAATAATGACACCAAAAAGCTTGCCGTTAATATGAAAAGGATCCAATTGAAAATAAGTAGAAAAAATATATATATATATATATATATATATATATATATATATGTGTGTGTGTGTGTGTGTGTGTGTGTGTGTGTTAGGTACCTCCACTTTTTCGACATAAATTTTCGATACCTAAGGTTTAAAATGAATGTTTAAAAATAAAAATACATTCTTGAAGATTTTGTTTTAGCTTTAATTGAAAGCTAAATGATTAAATTGATTATTTCCAGTAAGTAAAATATTTTGGTGTATTTCAGATAGAAATTATATAGATTAGAATGTCAAATTTAGTTTCGATTTCTTAAAATTTTCTTAATTTTTAAGAAATTTGTAAACAAAACAAATTTATCGATTTTAAAATTCTTTATTCGTTATTTGAGTTAAATTAATCTGGTTTGAAATATATATTACTTATTTATAGCATAAAAAAGTAATATACAATCATTTGTTATTGATCGGGCCTTTTTATCTGAAGCGATGTTTGATGGACAATTAAGTGATGAAGCGATGACAGCTAGTATGACTTACTAGAATTGACAATTTACAAAATTTAAATGAAACGATTTTTTTGGTCTTTAACTACCTAGTAATTTTTACAAATGAACATATTTCCGCAATTATCTCATGATTTGTTGACATTTATTTACCTTTCGAAGATGCTTTATGCATAAATAAAAAAAATTGAAATACTATAAAATTTTCTTAGATTAATTTCTCTGTAAAAAGATAAAAATCTTAGATCACGTGACCTTTTCATAATAATGTCACGTTTAGCCTCTCATAGATGAAAAAAGGGAACAAATTAAGTAAAAAAAAAAAAAAAAATATTATTTAAAAAATAGAATAATGTAACTACGTTTATTAATCTTTTCACTTGGATTCGTAAATGTCGTTTCCAATTAGTTATTATATCATATCCAGGAAATATGGCTATTTCCTACAGATATACAGAATTTTACACAGTTTTAAACTATTATAAATTATTATAATTAAATTTAAAAAAAAAAATAAAAAAATTCTTGTAAAAATTCATTATTTATCGGAAAAATTTTTATTTCTTGAGACAATAGTGTCCTTAATATAACTTATTTACAAAAAAAAAAAAAAAAAAAAGCTTTTCTAATTAAATAATAGCACTTTTATTGCATTCATTATTTTTCAATTCAGAGCAGATTTTCAGTAAGAATAGTGCAAGTTTGAAAAAAATTAGGGGATTTACATTTTCCAAGGAGTTCTACTTTTAACGAATAATAAAAAAACTCATGAAATAGAAAGGATTTCTACGAAATTTCATGAAATTAAGTAAATGGGAGGTGGGTAACATATGTAAAAAAAATTTTACCAAAATTTTTCAAAAAAAAAATTTCATTCATTAATGAATAAGTTCAGAAAATTTCATTAAATCGGACAATTATTTGATTTTTGCAAGAATTTCCAAATCAATGTGTTTTCAATGGAAAAGAGACGCAAAAAAGTCAATATAATTATTATGCCCCTGCGATGACGTAAACAAAACAAGGTTATAACCGAAATTTCGAGCGTGTTAGAAAAGATTAAAAGATTTCCAAAAATAATTAAAAAATACTTTGGTCTTTTATCTTAATAATAACATAAACATTTTGCCGATAAAACTTTTCATTTTTATTAAGTTTGTGGTCTTTTTCATTACTCTATGCCGTTTCCCGCGAAAAAGTGGAGGCACCTTATGTATATATATATATATAGAGAGAGAGATAGATAGATAGATAGATAGATAGATAGATAGATAGATAGATCAAAACAGACGGACGTAGATAGCTACGAACAGAATGATATACAGTGTAACCCGGATATAAGAGACCCGGATATAAGAGAAACCCGGACATAAGAGAGATTTTCTCTGGTCCCAAATTAGAGCCTGTGTTAATGTATACATATAGACCAAACCCGGATATAAGAGAAACACGAATATAAGAGACTTCTTCTCCAGTCCCGACAACTCTCTTATATCCGGGTTACACTGTATATAACGAGACCGTTAAAATTCAAATTCTACGTTTCGACGGAATTCCATTGACTGGATTTATCCCTTCTTAGTTTATATCCCCTCCCTCCATTCCCACCCCACCTTTTTCTTCTCCCTCTCGCTGTTACTAATCACTTAGATTCCTTTATTTCTCCACATGTAAATTCTTGTATACATTTTATGGGAAACTTCCTAATGACGGAAGTGAAAGTCATGTTTTGATAACTGCATTTCTAAATATTTCAGTCGCAACGTGATTCCCCACCTGATGAAAGGTTAAAAAATGTTATCTTTTTTTTTAACTTTGTAACAACATGTATAGTTTTGTAGTGGGTATGTGAATGTTCTAATCTAACACTGCATAATATATATGCGGTATTATGGCGGATGGAAGATTGAGGGGTGAGGACGAATTCTTATGGTAAATGTCGAAACTGTAATGTGTGAATTGGTCGTGAATCGAATTAGCTAGGTAGAAGATAGTGACGACCAGCTTTGGCCTTGTGCCACAATTGTATTTTATATATAATGAATATCCTGCATAATATATATATATATATATATATATATATATATATATATATAGAGAGAGAGAGA